CAAATCATCCCCCCCCCCCCCTCCCTGGGACACCCAAGGCAGATGATAATCCAACAGCTCCCGTGGAACAAGCGGCAAATCATCTCCCAGCCGACACAAGCGGGCGACTTGATTTCTCAGATGTGGCTATGTGAAGTGCGAAAACTCAGGCTGCATTGCGCACCCCAAGTCTCGCATCCTTATCAATGGTAGACGATTCAAGACTCGAATTCGTAAAATATTGGCGAATTCCCTATACCATCACCATACAATGAATAAGGAAGTGGTTGTTCTCTTAATGATTAGGGAGAGATTTGTGGAAAAGGTGCGCCTTCTAGGGACCACGAAATGGTCTTTAGAAAAAGAGTTATGCGGTGGAAAATTCGGCCTTCCACTCAGATCTCGACTATTGGTTGGATCCGCGCACACCTGCACCTAATAGCAAACTTTCGGTCGAGCGAGTTGAGTTCTGGATGGTCAGCTCCCTGATCTAATTGGGGAGGCTCCATCCCCTAGAGAATGTTCCGCGTTCTGTTAAGAGCATCGTCCGCAGCGCGCGAAATTTGCAGGAATCACTCAGGAAGTATGTTTGACATCAGTCGATAATCGCAGGTCGCTAGCTCTAGTTCAGTTCAGCGGGATGCCGTTACCGACCGATCTTCACTTACTGCCGCTCTTCTCACTTCAACCTCACTATCGTTCCGGCAGTAATCATTGTGACTGTTAAACCTTAAATTGAGTGACAATATATTGTGTTTCATGGAAATCACCTGCGGGCAGTGGTTTTTTGGGACCCGCTCACCCACTCCCGAAAATCCATCTACATTTCATCCATCCCTCACATATTCCACCAATGCTAGATCCGGCATCGAACAAAGTGATCGAAAATATTACGAGCTATGCAGAACAGCGCCGTTTCCGGTCTTGATGGTGTCAACGCCTTTTGGTGGAAGAGATTTACCTCTGTTCATGTTCATCTGGCTCGGATATTCATGGCATTCCTCGATGGTAGTGAGCTTTTTCCTGAGTGGTTAGTGGAAGGAAGAACTGAGCTGCTCCCAAAGAAGGGGGACTTATCCGATCCGACGAATTATTGGCATATCATGTGCCTGAATGTTCTTTAGAAGCTTTTCACCAGAATCTTGAATGAGCGTATCCTCCACGATATCAAACCAGAGTCGCAGCAAATTCATGAACAGTGAGGTGAGCAGCACGTAATGTTCAATTCGATGCAGTACCATCGCAATCTGTCAGTGGCCTGGGTCGACTATCGCAAGGCATTCTAATTTTTTTGCCATTGGAGTGCTTCGTGGTAGAAGACCACACATAGTGAGGTGCATTAAATATCTCTCGCCACTTCGAAGAACGCGCTTCGCTATGTCATCTTGTAAATGGTAGCTGATTTTGGTCTTCTTGCAACTCAGGAGAGGAGTCTTTCAGCGTGATTCCCGGAGTCCTCTCTTATTTTAGATCTCACTAGTGCCGCTGGCAGTTGTACTGCGTTATACTGGAGGATATGAAGCCGGGAGACCTGGCAATTGGAGCCTCACGTTAGCCATGTATTTTACATCGATGACCTGAAATTTTGTGCCTCAGGAGCGCGATATGTCAAGCTTCAGCTTGATGTTTTCACGTTGTATTCGCGCGGGCTCGACATGAGTTTTGGGTTGGACAAATGCGCTGTTTCCTACTTGAAGAGGCGCAAAGTTGGCAAGGAGGTGGGTGATCTTCAGCTTGTGGATGGAAAAGTCATACGGCATCTTGGCGCCAAAGAGTCATACCGATATTTTGGCTTACGTCAGCGATCCATAGTGGACGCTATTGTAGTCAAAGAGACTCTTCGCTGGAAATATTGACAGCGACTCTGGAAAGTTTGGAAATCCGAGCTTTCCGGCAAGAATCAAATTGCCGCAACCGTTATATTCACTGTTTCAGTGCTTCTTTACTCCTTCGACGTCAAGTGGGGTAGAGATGCATTGAAAGAGCTGGACAGAAATACCCGAAATCTGACGAGTATGCACAGGGGTCTGCATCCACGGTCTTCGTGTCCGCGGTTATATTTTCCACGAGAGAGTCGGGAATGAAGATTTCTCATTTTGCAGTCTCTTTATGAATGTCAGGCCTTTCGTGAACTGATCAGATGGTCAGTTCTCTGATGATTCACTGGCCAGCATGGTCAAGTCTCGACGAAGAGCAGGCATCAAGGAGGCGGAGCAGTCCACCTTGCTTCGTTAGCACGTCGACGAGCTCATGCATGCCGTATTCTTCCGTTAAATGGAAGAGCTGGGTCTGTCCATCAAGCTGACCTTTTCTTTCTTGAAGACTGCTGGCTTGATGTCCAAAAATGAGGGTTTCATTTGCGCGTGTCAAGATGGCTAATAGATACCCTAGTCTATTGGAATCACGTTATGGGGTTGCAAGTTTCAGACATCCGGTATCAGGCCTGCAGGCCCTCCCCGGAAATTCTAATGCATCTTTTATCGGCTTGTTCGACGTATCCAATCACTAGTTATATTCATCGTCGTAACGCTATTCAACGCCGTAACTTTGAGAACATGGTATCATTACTTGCGGCACTCCTATGCGATCAACAGAACTCCGGTACTGCCAGTTGCTCCAGGAAATATTGAGTCCGTTGTTGGAAATGAGAGCTGTAACATTTACTGGAACTTCTCGTTCACGACTCTCAGGCGAATCGTTACAACCGCATTTTCTTTGATTATGATGACAAAATCATCTATGTCCGTGAGTTCTAGGTTCCAGCCGCAGATCAATACATCGGCTAAAGCAAAGTAGAAACAGCTCAAGTATCAACCGTTCCTATTTGAGTTACGTAAAATTAAACGAGGTTTCAGAGTTAAGTTGGTTATCCTTTTTCTTGGTTCTCTGGGATGAATGAAACAGTTTTTCATTTCTGCTTTCGAAAACTTCCCGGCCTGTAGACGTAATGCATATATAATGGCTGGCCAGGTGTAGAAGCCCTTCCGTCTACTTAGGCAGCACGTTTCTAGACAGCAGTAGACCTCTCCCTTTTATTAGAGGAAGCACTGCTGGATAGGGATTAAAAAAGTTTGTATCATTTAGCTCACTGCGCGATCGTTGATGTGATGTCGGAATCCTCGAGGATCGTTCAGCGATCTCATTCGTTCAGCGAGAGCCTTCGTCATATACCGAAATCATGTCTGACCCGAACAATGGGAAAAGGAATGACCGAATGAAAAATAAAATATTTCAATTAGACATAGTTATTGATTGGCTTATATGTATGAAGTGAATGATTAGCAATGTGTCTGAGGAATTTTCAATACTCAAGTAATTTTCGAGAAATAATTTTTTTGTTATAAAAATTTCAATCAAGAGGATCGTTTCCAATCATCCTTCGTTGCCGGAGGTGACGAAATTCAATATAAAGTAGTCAAAGATTTACCACATAAATATCGTATACCTCCCTGGAATACACCGATTCTATTGGTTACCATTATAAGAAAAGACACAAGCATAATTATCAAATAGCCGGATGAAAAGATTAATTGTAGATATGTATACTTTCAGCGCACTACACATGTTTCGCACAGCTTCAATCGCTGCCTCCGGAGTCCTCAGGAATTCGTAACAATGCCTCTGGATGACCGTGTTCACATAACACTTAGGAGACTATGAATATTACTTGGACCATTACAGGAACTGAAGTGGACTATACTGACCGCCGAAAGTAGGATAAGAGATCGCCGTAATTGAGTGAAATGGATCTGGATTGCATATTATCAAATAAATTCTACTACTCAACACCGTATGCCATTGGTGCAACTCTCTATCAGTTGACTCAGTTATTAGATGCTCTCTGCGATTCTTCACGTTCTAAGAAATATAGTGACCAACTTTCTGTGCAAAACTTCTTCATTTAAACCACCCTTTCAGAACACCAGTTACCGTAACCTAATACACGTTAAAGATACGCAAAACCCACATTTTTTTTGTTTGGTTAAATATATTCTCAATATTTTTATTTTCTCCTCATAGAAATTGGGTGTATACATAGGCTGTAACTTTATTACTGGAATACCTCCTGGCCGCAGATTCATGCACCCCCCTGAATGCTAGAAAAATAAAACGAAAATCAATTATGTAACCAATTTTGAATAATCAACGATTAAGGGAGGCCACTAAGGGAGCCGGGTTATGGCACGTAAGAGTGAGTGGTAGGGGTTAATTGAGGTTTCGTAACAGTGCGTCAGAACTGTCAATTTCATGTGAATACCCCTATAGTATTGGGAAGTGGCGCGCTCAAGCGTTTTTTTTTTTCATCAGAAAAACCGTACATAAGTGTCTTAGTCGTGCACACCAAATACACCATAGGTGCAGAACTCATGCACAATTAACGGGTCACAAATGCACTACTCGTGCGCGATTGGTGCGGGACAAGTGCACTACTCGCGCCATAACCGGGCCTCTTCATTGGCCTACGTTGATTGTTGATTATTCAAAACTGGTTAAATGATTTTTTTTTTAGTTTTCTAGCATTCAGGGTGGGGTTCCTGAGCCTGTGGCCGGGAGGTATTCTACCAATGAAATTACACCCTGTATCCTGTGAGATTTTGATAATAATTGTGATATTCTGTAAAATGTCGTCAAATTCTAGGGGAATAATGATATCAGTATATGTGCTACTTCATCAGAATCCACTGAATTCTATTCAAATTATTCATTTTTGGTCGGGAGTTTGGATGATCTGAGTAATAAAATATCGGTACTCTCCGAACAATCTGCCAAAATTTTCCAAATTTGCCAAATTTTCCATCAATTTACCATATTTTCTCGTAATGTCTGCAGCGCTTTGAGTTCTCGTTCCACTGATTGAGTTTCAATGACATTTTTAGCTATAATATCCCAAGATTTTCAAACTCCAATACCGAGGGGTATCAGGGGATTATTTTGTGCGGGTCGTGGGGAGAGAGGTATATTCGTGGACAAGGAAATCAATAAATCGAAATCCAATCTTCGAAACAGGGCCCAGAAACCAATATCTTGAACTGTAGGTGGCAAAAGGCATATGTTGATAGTCAAATAAAGAAACTCGATTGTACTGACATGTTTCGCTATTGCACAAGACTAAAAAGGCTTAAAAAATGATTCCCATTCGAAGGTATTAGAGAGAGGTGGAACTATCATGCACGATGTGAAGACGAATCCGAGAGAGAGAGTGAGAGAGAGAGAGAGAGAGAGAGAGAGAGAGAGAGAGAGAGAGAGAGAGAGAGAGAGAGAGAGAGAGAGAGAGAGA